GAGAGTAGAAGAGAGAGAGCAAAACTTGTTTAATTAGTCTCTTAGTAACTGACAAAATGAAAAAGTCTCTGGGATAAATCATTGAGATTAAAGTTTAATTGCCTGATTCCAAACCCTCTTGGTTATGATATGGAACCATCTTGAGCTCGAGGCGTTCAAGTTTCGTTGCCTTGATTTATTTGATAGCTGGTACTTGGAGTGGATTGGTTCTTGATTTGTCAAGCTATTGTTAATGATTGTTTTTGCTACTGTCACTATTTTATATTTGGTCAACTTAAATTAAGCAATATATCCTTTATTTTTTTGCAGATCCTTCTTGTCATAGAGAGTGTGGGCACTGTGTTGGACCATGACAGGACATCGAAACAACAGCGTAATTCAAAGACCAGTACATGATTGTTCTTGTCAAGGAAGGACGTTGGGTCCATTGTAAAATATTTGAACAATCAGTTTTTGGGGACATGAAGACTGTTGGTTATGGTAGAGATTAGAGAGAGAGAGAGAGAGAGAGAGAGAGAGAGAGAGATTCAGCTGGAATATTTCTATTTATGTGAAATTCCAACCCAGGCAATGATGGTTACACTGCCGAGCAGGGGGGGGTTGTTGGAAAATGTAGTATTCAGAAGGAATATTTCTATTCATTTGAAATCTGAGCGGTGGCAATATGATGGTTTCTGTGTACAGTAAATCTCAATGTTTCTTTGAGTCGCCAATTCAAATATCCAAAATGTTATCACAAGATATATAGTGGCAAGAGAGAGGACTGTAAAATGGGACCAGGGTCGTAGTTTTGTTCATCCTTTGGAGAGTGAGGGTGCCTAGGTGTTCTTCTGATTGATGTTACAGGTTATTTACTTATTTGAGAGCTAATGATGTACTATTTTGATTGATTTCTTAGAGGTAAATTTGTAATGGAAAAACTTTATAAAGATTTGGAGTCCAAAAAGTTGATGCATCTTGTAACCTTCTTTGGGATGTCTATTTTCAAGATTTTCGGGTGTTTTATGTATTTGTTTGAATTGCACCATTTTTGAAATTTTAAATATAGATTTTAGGGCCATTTTGGGTATTGTGGCAAGGTTTGGAAGTGTCTTTGATTGATCAAGGTTGATGACTTTTATAACTGCACCCATTTCTATTTGCTAGTTGAGAAGGAAGTGAGTTTAGAGGAAATAGCATACCCCTTGTAGTATACGAACCAATATTGAAAAAAATTGCTTATTTAGATTGAGTGAATTGGAATCGGTCCTCCCGATCTGGCGTCAAATTTCGATTTTTTAAACACTCATAGGAACTATTTCCTCAAATGGGTATTTCATCCCAACTTTTTGCTTTTTGTTCACATTGTAAGGTTTTAGGCAAGATTTGGTAGTATGGTTTACTTTCCCTCAATCTTGGTTATCATATATTTCTTGTAGTATGGATTGAAAATTACCAACATTAATGTGATCGTAATGTTGATAGCAAAAGGATAATTGTTATAAGTTTGTATAGATATGAATGAACTATTGGGAAATACGTGCATTGTATGTATTTCTTTCAGGAGTGTATAGTATAAGCTCATTTACTTTTAGTATGTAGAGGTCACCATTAATCCTAGCCATTGGATGTGAAACTCGGCAGCTTGGAATGTGTCATAAGTTCAAGAAATTTTATTTTAGACTGTCCATATAGTGATATCTATTACCACCCAGTTTTACATTTAATGGTCAACAAGATTTGTGATTTTTTGATGTCAAAAGTAAATCATCTTATTTTGTACTTTTTTATTTATTAAATATATGACTTAGGAAAAACAATATAAGTAAAGAAACCAAGATTTGTGATTTTTTGATGTCAAAAGTAAATCATCTTATTTTATACTTTTTCATTTATTAAATATATGACTTAGGAAAAACAATATAAGTAAAGAAACCAAAAATTGTATGAAAGAAGCATATCTTATTTCCCTTATATAAAAAAACATTTGAAAGCTGGTAAATTTTCAGTTCTCCAAATAGTGAAAAATCAGAAGTTTTTTTTACATGTAAATATCAGCGAGCTTGATAGCCTAAAAAAATGCAATTCAAAGGCTGCAAATAAACTTCAGTTCGAGGAAATCAAGTATAATAATTATATATAAATTTGGAATAAGAAGAAAAGACTAAGAATATAGAGAATTGTATGACATCACTCTATCATAATCTTAAGAGAATGGAGTCTAATAAAATCTTAAAAGAATGGAATTGTATACCATGTCATCTGAGCTTTATCCCAACAATTTGGTGTTGGTTACATGAATTTTGTTATATCAAATGCCATGCTTTTAATAAGATCACAATTCACCATATTTTTTCTCATTATTTCAAACATGTCATTTGAGTCTTTTTTTTTTTTTGGAGTTTTCTACTTGAACCAAATCGCATCTCCAAACAGTTGTTTTAATCTTATGCTACACATGGCTAGCCCACCTAAATGCAATTCACTCATCTTATCGCCTATGAAAGTCGCATCTAAATTATCTCGAATATGTTTATTTCGACTTCTAGACTTTTTTGTCTTGTCACTCATCCATCTTAGCATCATCATCTCAACTACATTATATTATTTCTTGACAACCCAACATTCCGTCTTATAAAGTGGTTTACAATTGTCCTATAGAACTTTCCCTTCAGTATCATTGGTATGCAACGAGAGTCATGTGCTATGTAAAAAGACATACAAACAAAATTGATGTATATGTTAAGTAAAAATGCAAATTTGGTTTTTTAAAATAAGAATTGGAATGCAATCAGAGTATTAGTTTCTTTCATACCACTTAGAGGAAAAAAAAAAAAAAACATGAAGCTTATCTAGAATGGGAATTGTGGTAATAGTCTTTGGATGCTCTATATTGAATTCTGAGTTATATGCAAAACTCAATTGAAACAAATAGGAATGAGAAAAATAAAGCACAGAGCACACAAAAGTAATGAGAATGAATTTATATGTAAATTGCATTCCAGACAAAGAGAATATTAAATAAAAAAAGAGACATACATACAAGCACAATTTTTCACTCCAGAGAAAGAGAATATTAAATCAAATAATGCGACAAAATATAAGAAAGGAAATATAATAGATGTATACTTCTAAAAATTCAAAAAAATGTTTTAACTTTAATTAATCGAAAAAGTAACTTGACAAAGGATGAAATCATGGTGCAGTAGCTCATGTAGTGCTCTTTATTGAACTCTGAGCTAGAAGAAGAGTCAATAAGAGAATCATAAATTTTAATTACTAATACTAAAATACAACATAGTGAAACCAATATTTTATTATGTATTTCAGCAGTAAGTTTTTATACATCACTTAAACAGAAAAAAAATGAATCGATGGATAACCCAATACCTTGCATTTCATTTTTGTTATTTGCTATTGTAGTTCATGTGCTTAGTATTGTTATTACTGTTGTTGTATTGTATGCTCCTAATAAATTTATTGTATGTTCGATGTAAGACAACATAATAAACATTGTTGTTGTATTCATTGAAAGTTTAGATAAAAATTTGTCTAAATATAACTCTAATGGTACTAGGTAAAGACGAAAAATTTATAGTTCATTTGTTTTAATGTATCTATAAGATAACTGTAACTCATAATCTTATATTGTGTTAATGATTTTTTGACTCCATTTTTTTTAACCAAATACAAAATATTCATAATTCTCTTAAGTAATTTTTGGTGATCCAAATTTTTTACCCCATTTTTTCCTTGATTTTTTGGAGCAAAACCGATTTATTACTTACATTTTGATTTACTGATTTGTCGTTATTCCCTGACTTGCTAACTTTACTCATCACCACCCGATTTAAATTCCCATCTAGTTGAATGCCAGGTGCACCATTTATTGTGATTTAAGACATGTAAAACATATATTCCCGTTTTTGGCGATGTTATCTTTAATATTAGGGTTATGTTAGGGTATTCACACTACACTTATATGCCATTGGTTTATACATGGAGCATTTTTTTAGTAATGATATTTTTAGTCATTAAAAAATGTGTGACATCATCCACACGGGGTGTGACATCACCCACATGGAACATTAAATACCACTAGTGTATCTACCTAACGACAAAAAATACCTCTATTAAAAAATGCTTATGTACAAAATAAGGGTATATAAGTGTCCAAAATTTGTTGAGTACAATTATAAAATGCTCTATAGTGTGAGCACCATAACATAACCCATATATAACTCTTATTTAAGTATACGTAGCTTGATGTGTAATATAATTAGTATGAAGATCAATGTTATACTTATTTCCAAATCAACTTATATATAAGTTGACATTAACTGTTTAATAAAAGGTTTTGTTAGGCTACTTCTACACATGTAGTATATACTTAATTTACTCAATATTTTTGGACACTTGATACCATTATTCTATAATGTAAGAACTTTTTATCTAAGGGTATTTTAAGTAATTAATCAAGAGTAAAATAGAAATTCTTGATAAAAACAAAAATATTTATTAATTGTAGTAGACAATAACATCACCGTGTGGCATCACCCACATGGAATATTAATTATTTTTTAACTATTAATAAAATGTCACTAGTTTTTTATAAGAATATCCATTCTACCCCTCTTAATGTTAAATACCCTTGCCTGAAAAATTTTGTATTACAAATCAAAGGTATCTAAGTGTCCAAAAATATTGAGCACATTTAATACGTACTCCATATATATATTTTATTTATTTATTTATTGGACATATTAATGGTGGGAATAGAGGGTAGGACTCCATGTTGAAGCATCACTCCCTATAACCACATAAATGCTTCAATTATTCAAGAGGGAGAGGAATGTGGAGGTAACCGCGTTAACAAGGTCCACCACTTCATAGTTTTTTCTTTGCTTTCGGGGCTCGCCTTAAGGTTTCTACCCGTTTTCCTTTCTAGGGCTTTACCGCTGTTCTCTATATTTTCATTTTCCTCAATGAAATTTAGTTAAAGTTTAAAAAATAAAATAAAAAATCAATTGACAAATATATGTTTTAATTATGTAAAAAGTCTATATGAGGTTGACAACTAAGGTAGACCTCAAAAAATCCCTTGAAGAGATGTTAGAAAAACAGCTAATTGATCATCTCAACATCGAGATGTATAAATAGGGAGAAAAGAACGATTTCAAATCCCAAGAATAATACATTTTACAATACTTTTATCTAAACCGCCCAATTTCAAGATTTTCTTGTGTTTATAGATTTGAACCGTTTTTGAAGTCTACAAATTTTTAGTTAGAGATAAAAATGGATTCTTGCACTATCCTTAGTAATTAAAACATATAATTGATCATCTCAACATCTAGATGTATTGATAGGGAGAAAAGAAAGATTTTAAATCTAAAAAGTAGTACACTTTACAATACATTTATCTGGACCGTCTAGTTTCAAGATTTGTATGTGTTTATAGGTCTGCTAGAGTTGAACCATTTTTTAAAAGTTTAAATTTTTTTAGTTAGATATAAAAATAGATTATCGCACTATCTTTAGTAATTTTCGATACTCAAATTACATCTCATGACAAAATTTGGGTCTACACCTTAAATTGATTATTTAAAATTACAAACTTATGCGAACCACACCCTTAGTTAGCTATTATTTTTGAGCTACAATAGGGATTGGTAGAGATAAAAAGAACAGTAAGAGGCCTGTCTAGCGAAGAGAGGGGATAAAAACAATCTAGGATTTGCTACATCCCTTTACCAGTGAAGTTAATAATAATAAAAGAAAAAAACAAGGGAAAAATAAAAATATATTTTTTAACTTCATAATAATAAAAGAAAAAAAAGAGAAAAAAAAAAGAAAAAAGTTTATATAGAGCCGAGGACTCTAAATAATCAAATTAGAGCCCACGTCAAAAATTTAATTAGAAGAGGTTGTTTTGATGCTCAAATATCTTCAAATTGATCATATCGACCTCGGACATGAGAAAAAAAAAGATTTCAAGTTTTGGAAATAGTGCATCTTGTGACGCATTTTTGAACTCTCAATTTTCAAGATTTTTCAAGTTTTCATAGATATGCTTGATCTACACTATTTTTAAAGATTTAAATTTTATAATTAAAGATGAAAATATATTTTAAGGCTATCACAAATATTTTCAGTAATAAAACCATATTTCATGACACAATTTGAAGGTACGCTTTACTTTGATTGTTTAGAGCCTCGGCTCTATACAAGCCACACAAAAAATAAAAAGACAAAGCTAAGTGCTACTCATTTTCGGATGTCGGTAGTGGACCCACGTTGCTCGTTTTGAAGAAAAAATCTTATACTCAAAAGCAAAGGTTGGAATGATTTGCAGGAAAAAATTGAATGGGTCGTTTTGTATTTGTTATTTGGGAAATGATCTTGTGAGATCCTCTCACACTTTTTTATTTGGGAAATGATCTTGTGAGACCCTCCCACACCTCTGTATGTAGGACCTCAAACGATCACCATTAAATTTGACACATCTAAAAAAATCAATTCCCACACCCATGTGATAACTTTCATAGAGATCTGTGTCAAATTTATTGGTGATCATTTAAAATTGTGTGTGAAGGTCTTATAGGATCATTACTCTTGTTATTTACCAAATGAAAAGTTACCAATCCTTATTAAAATAACATAGTGGCCATCATTACCACCTAAATAAGTGATTTTCTTAATACACCCGTACGCCTCATCCTTTTTTTAAATAAGTGATTTTCTTAGTACACCCGCACGCGTCAGGTCTTTTTTAGTCCACATCAGTGTTGGAAACTACTAGGGCCAATTATTCGGCTAATACCCAATCCGAGTATTTGGACTTGTGATCGGGGGAGGGTATTTTTAAAACAATCTGAAAAAATAGAAAAATAATAAAAAATTTTTTTTGGCTAAATCATTTCCTAATATTTTCTCAAATGAGAGAAAATATAATATAAAAAAACCCCCAAAGAATCCCCAAGTTGAACACCCATCTCAATATCTCAGGACAAAAGGGCCTGAGCCCGAGTAACCCGGCCGAGTAAAAACTACTCAGCCGACTTTGGGAACGCTGGTCAACATGATCTAATGGTAGTTTTAGTTTACTAAAGCTGCTTTTTATCAGATTAACGACATTTGGGTATCATAATGTATCTTTGCTATCTCGGGTAAAAGAGACAAAAGTTTTTGTTTTTTTTTTGTCAATACGAAATGTTGGGATCCACTTTATTATAACGAAATGAATATTTTCAAATCAAGAAATTGGATTTTGAGTTTCTAAACACTGATGTAACTGTTAAAAAATTGGTTTGTCTTCAAATTTAGGACATTATTTTTCGTGGCAAATGCATAGTACTTCTATTTTTTCTTTATTTTAAGAACAATCATGTGGGCTGGACAACATTTGTATAATATGCAGTCCAGGGTATAAAGTATCCATTTTAAGATGACCGCAAATAGGTGGTCCATCTAAAAACAATTGTAACTAACGATTCAAATGTTTTTTTAATATGATTATTATTTCTAGTTGTCAAATTTTATTTATTTTTCCGTATTCATGATCTCCATATTAAAAATTAAATATCTAAAAATTAGGATCAAATTATATTTAAAAAATATATTTATTGCCAAGGCCGCATTTGCACATGTGCAGGCTTAGCCGCATGCTAACTGTGTCCTTACTTTAATAACCAAAATATACTACACACTCTCAATAGTTTATTGTCTAGTTACTCCCTCAAGCAAAACCCCATCTATGATTAATTTAAGGACTCCAAATTCTCAATAAATTTTTTTCCTAATTACAACCTCTACGCACTCGAAAAAAAAACAAATCTCTCAAGATTGAACAAAGACCATCCAAGTCTAAGTGTTAGAAAACTCACATTTCAATTTTTTTTCTTTTGAAAATAATCATATAGCGGTTCTTAGGTGGTTCTCTAGGTTTCAAATTGCAAAGCTCTTTCTAAGTATGTATTTTCACCTAGGGAGTAAATATAAACTATGCTCCCTAAAAATTACATCATTTGTGCCGTTTTCATATATTCACTATGTATGTACTCACTTTAGTTAAAGTTCAAGGATTATATGCTATGAGACTATTTATAATTCTTACAAGAAAGTCACAATCACTCTTAATCATTGGATGGTTTGATATTTGTCACAAAATTAAAAAAAAAAAAAAAAATTTGATTTTAATATAACACACCCTTGCAATTACCCGATTTAAAATCTAATGGATAATAACTATTACGATCTCCAAGTAAATGGTCTCTTGCGTTTTTTTTTTTACCCCTAGAATGGAAGATATGTACTGGCGGGAGCATATAATTTACTGAGCTTAATAATAAGGGTATTTAGTTTTGTTTCTATTAAAAAATGCTCTAGAAACTAGAAAGTGCCAAGAAAAAAAAGGTTATAAAAACCAAGGCACATGGCCCAACATGCATTTGCTTTCCTTTGCTTTTCAGACTTTTTTTTTTTTTAAGCATATATGGTTGGTGTGTTGGGTCCAGTCAAATGCATAGTGCATTACACGTGGCACTCTTGTTGTGGAGTTCTTTTACATTTCAATGGGCACTATCCTCATCTACAGATTTCTTCTTACTATAGATTATATCAGCCGTTCATTTGTAGCTTCAATTGATTTCATGGGGATCCCATTGATGGCGGGATTGCTTTAGTTTCTTTTTTCTCATTACTTAATTTTTTTTATAAATAATATTGACTTAAATTTAAATATTTTCCATTTATTTTTTTTGTAACTTCATGCACAATAATTAATATTACTTTGTGATTTTTTCTATAAACTGCACCACCTTTTCATAAAATAGAGAAATAATTCCTGTATTTAGGCAAAAAATCTGGGCTTCCCAACCGTGAGATATGAGTTTCTTTTCTAAATTTCAAAATGTTATAGACTATTTTGGGTATGTTAATTAAATGCCCAAAGATATTGTAGCCCCTTGGGAGTATACTGTCCATTTACTCCCTCAATAAAATCATTAAAAACAATTTCCTAAGTGCAAGTGTGATATCAATAGGCATCAAGATGAGAGACCCAGTACAATACCTATTACGATGTGCGGATTAGTTCAAGCAGAAGGCTAAAAAATAGCAAGGGTAGGTCCTAGTCAAAAAAAGTATAGAGACTTATGGTGTCATTGAGGGTGTGGCCATTGATAAAGTAAAATGATGAACGTGAAGATTGATATAGCTGACCCGAAATAGTTGAAAAAGCTATGAAAATGATGATGAGATTTAAGTGATGATGAAGAAGGTTATGAAAAGAAATATTTTAAGATTGAATGGAAACCGTTCAATTTCTACGGGATGAGATTTAAGTGACAGAAAACTCAAATTTCAATATATTTTTTTTTTTGAGAATAATCATCCAATAATATTTAAATTGTTCCCAAATTTCATATTTAAAAAATATCTCCCAAATAGGTCTTTAAGACGAGGGAGTAGAAGTAAATTATGCTCTCCAAAGAGCACAGTATACTTGCTCTAATTAAATTATAAAATCAGTCTAAATAAAACCATAATTTTGAATTTCCCTCTAAAAATTTCACTCAACTAGTAACTTTTTTAAGATAATGATGTGGCAGCATCTCACTCCTAAGTTTGGCATCACTAACACTCTGCAAAATAACAAGAACCAGGTTTCTATTCCTCTCCCTCTCTGAGTATTCATTATTTTATGCATTGAATCTATCTCTTTCCCCACCAAAATATGAAAAGCATATCTGTGTCTCTGTTAATGCCAATTTTCTATGCATTGAACCCATCTCTCTCTCTCTGACTGCCAATAACAAAAAGAAGAAGAAGACCCATGTCTGATACTCTTTTCTCATAGAAAACACTTATTCTCATTGACTCATAAAGCAATAATCAGGGTCTTCCTTAGATTCTCCTTTCTCATTCACTCATTCCCACCATTTCTGATACACAAAAAACGCGTTTTTCCTGTCCTGTATAGCTAAACAAACCTCTCTCTCTGTCTTTCTCTGTCTCTGTCTCTCTCTCTCTCTCTCTGTCTCTCTCTCTCTCTCTCTCTCTTATCTAACCCCTCCCATGGCAAAAACTGAAAACAAAATCCCAATACTCCTTTTAGCTCTGCTCCTTATCTCCACACAGTTTCAGCTATGTTTAACCACCACCATACCAGGGCCCATCAAAACTATAGTAGTCCTTGTCCTCGAGAACAGATCATTCGATCACATGCTCGGTTGGATGAAGAGAAATAACCCATTGATCAATGGAGTTACAGGCAGTGAGTGTCTCCCCAAATCCACTCAAGACCCACAATCCACAACTGTTTGTTTCTCCAATGACGCAGAGTTTGTTGATCCAGACCCAGGCCACTCCTTCCAGGCCATAAAGGAACAGGTACTGAGCCTGATTGCTAAGAATGGGTACTTGCATTGAGACTGCTGGTTGGTTTCAACATTTTTAATATAGATTTTATGAGTCCATTCCTTATTCAATAATTCAATGATTTGGGAGTTCTTAGGAGATTATAATGAGTGAAAGTGGATTTCTTCATATTTTCAAATGTTCGGGAGTTACTGTTATATTAGGTTGAATAATTGTGAAAATATGGATGTTGGGATTCTTCATATTCTGAAGCTGCTCGGGGGTACTAATTAGTTATTTTAGTGTCCTTTCCAAATTCAATTTTTGAGTAGATTAGTATTAATGTTGCCATTTTTCGTGTTGGTTTTCTTTGTATTTCGAGAGGGGCCTTTTCAATTTGAAGATGATCCAATTTCCAATATCATATATGGCATAGTCTTAGACAATTAGTAGCCAGAGCCATAGAATATCTTCTTAAATGTTAAAGCATCTTTGTGCATTTCTAAGTTTATTCAGTGATTATAAGATTAGTGTTCTGTTTCAATAGTAGGCGGTTTGATTTTAATAAGTTAATATAGATTCTTACATAATAGCTTGTTTTTATTATTATTAGAAGAATAAGTGTATGATATTAGACTAGAAGATTAGTCATTGATTATCAGAAGATTGTTAATTGTTAGAACTTAGAGGATCGGTATGTGGTTTCAACGAAACCAATTGCTCTTCTCACTGGATCAATTTCCAATTTTTCGCAGGTTTTTGGCTCTGAGAACTCAACAGAGGCAAAAATGTTTGGCTTTGTCCAACAAGCTCTATCCATTTCTCCAGATCTTGGAGACAAGGTCATGAAGGGCTTTAGACCAGAGGTCTTACCGGTCTACTCAACTCTGGTTCAAGAATTCGCAGTCTTTGATCGATGGTTCTCTTCTCTTCCAGGCCCAACTCAACCCAATAGGCTCTTTGTTTACTCTGCAACTTCTCATGGAGCAACAAGCCATGTCAAAAAACAACTTGCACTGGGCTATCCCCAAAAGACCATCTTTGATTCTCTTCATGAATCAGACCTCTCTTTTGGTATCTATTTCAAGAGCATACCAACCACTCTTTTTTATAGGAATTTGAGGAAGCTAAAGTATATCTCTAAGTTTAAGCAATATGATTTAAGTTTTGAGAGAGATGCAAGAGAAGGAAAGTTGCCAAATTTGTGTGTGATTGAGCCAATGTACTTTGATATGAAGGGGAGAGAAGCTGATGATGATCACCCATCTCATGATATATCTAATGGTCAGAAATTGGTTAAAGAGGTTTATGAGATTTTGAGGAAGAGTCCACAGTGGAACGAGACTTTAATGGTGGTGACTTATGATGAGCATGGTGGGTTCTTTGATCATGTGCCTACTCCCACTTTGAATGTGCCTAGCCCTGATGGGATCATAGGAGCTGCCCCTGATTACTTCAAGTTTGATAGGTTGGGAGTGAGAGTGCCCACCATCATGGTTTCCCCTTGGATCAAGAAGGGAACAGGTGTGTTAAATGCTCTCTCTCTCATGGATAGTAGTCTGTGATCTTCCATCTAGTTTTCACATTTCCCTCTAAACTTTTGCCTCTTTCATTGCAAAGCAGTATGGGGTCATCTAGTTTTCTCTTTAATGATGGGTTTCTTGCCTTAATCCATCTAAATGTTGTATTGCTGTTGTAATTTCCTCTGTATTGAAGTATGTGATGGTTGCCTAAATTGTGTGAGACGTTTATGTGAGGTTTTTGCTTTTGTGTGAGAACAGTGATGAGCAAACCTACTGGGCCAAATGTGAACTCTGAATTCGAGCACTCGTCGATTCCAGCAACCATAAAGAAGATGTTCAACTTGACCTCCAATTTCTTGACTTACAGAGATGCTTGGGCTGGAACCTTTGAGCAAGTTGTCGGCCTCTTATCCGAACCAAGGACTGATTGCCCAGGTAAATTTCAATTCATGGTTTCATTATACTATGTCCACAGAGAGAGAGAGAGAGAGAGAGAGAGAGAGAGAGAGAGAGAGAGAGAGAGAGAGAGAGAGAGAGAGAGAGAGAGAGAGAGAGAGAGAGAGAGAGAGAGAGAGAGAGAGAGTAGAGAGTAGAGTAGAGTAGTAGTAGTACGTAGTAGTAGTAGAGTAGTAGTAGTAGTAGTAGTAGTAGTAGTAGTAGTAGTAG